ACTATTTACTTTTTAAAAAAAGGACATACATTTCACACATTATTTTTGAAAATGTCTTTCTTGTCTGTGCCTCCTTCTGAATTTCTTTCTATTCTTGGTGCATTTTTTAAAAAGTTACAATGGCCTTTGTTTTTGATGCCACTATTGCTAACCCCTTCTCTCATTAAAAACCAAGAGAAAGAAAGAGAGGGGGGGAAATCTCTTGTAAAAAATAAGCTTAGTCAAGCATGATAAATCAGCACAGTGGCCATGTCCAAAAACGTATGTTTCTTTCTGAACCTTGGACCCATCACTTCTCTGTCAGGAAGCAGGTAACATGCTTCATCACAGGTCCTCTGGAGACATTATTTTAATTAGATTTCTTAAGTCTTTCAAAGCTGTTTTTCTTTATGATGTAAAAATTGTATGAATTATTCTTCTGGTCTGCTTACCTTACTCTGCATCAGTTCTCACTACCCAGAATTCTCTGAAAATGTCTTTCATCATTTCTTACGGCACAATAATATTCCATTACATTAATATATCACAATTTTTCCACCATTCCCCAGTCTTCCAAGAGGCAATCTAAAGCACCTCCTTAGATTCTAGTTCTTTTTCTTTTCCCGTTTTATTTCCCCTTTCCAGATCAGGAAGTATGTTTTGTTTATGACTGTTCCCTTCCTGGTATTATCCTTCCCCTTAACTCTCCCCTTGTCCATCCCCAATAGTTCCCCTATTGAATTTGATGTATTTCTACAGCAAACTCTTTGTGTGTGTGTTTGTGTGTGTACACATGTTCAAGCCTCCTTTGGCCATATCAGAAGAATAAAATTTATCTGATGTTTCCCCCCGTCACCCCTTCCTCCATGTTTATTTACTCTTCTTCTTACGAACCTCCTTTCTACACTGGGGTATTCCTGCTTTTACCCTCCCTTCTCTTAAAACTCTCAGAACAGAACCAATCCACTGAGATTTAAGGTTTTGAAGGTATTCCTATTTCTTCTCCTCCCTGAGAACATTAACCCTATATCATCATACAGCTCCTTCCAATTGCTTAAATAAATTTACCTTGCCATGTTTCTTGGGACTCCTGTGTTTGTATTTCAAAATTCCTACTCTATTCTGGTCTTTCCATCAGTCCTCTATTCCATTAAAAATCTATTTTCCTCCCTGTTAGATTAAACTAAGTATTGCAGGGTAAGTTATTCTTGGCTTTAAGCCTATCTCATTCACTCTGGAATATTGTTCTCCAAGATGTCCCCTGGTTTGTGGTAGATCCTGACTCTAGTTTTTTTGTTTGTTTGTTTGGTTTGGGTTTTTTTGGTTAGGCAATGGGGTTTAGTGACTTGCCCAGGGTCACACAGCTAGTAAGTGTTATGTTTCTGAGGCCGGATTTGAACTCAGGTCCTTCTGAATCCGGGGCCAGTGCTCTATCTGCTGCACCACCTAGCTGCCCACTGACTCTAGTACTTGAATACCTCTGTTTGGATGCTTGTAGTATTTTGTTCTTTGCTGTGGGAGCTCTGGATTTTGGTCTATGGCAATCCTTGGACTTTTTCTTTTGGCGCTCCTTTCAGAAGGTGATCAGTAAGAGTCTATCTTTTGGGCAGCTACATGGCACAGGGGACAGAGTGCTGGACTCAGAGTCAGGAAGACCTGAGTTCAAATCCAGCCTCAGACACTTACTGTGTAATCTTAGTCCAGTCACTTAACCCTGCTTGCCTCAGTTTCTCTATCTGTAAAATGAACTGGAGAAAGAAATGGCAAACCACTCCAGTATCTCTGCCAAGAAAACCCCAAGTGGGGTCATGAAGAGTCAGACAGGACAATCTTTTCTTAGTACTCTGATTCTAATAGAGTTCTGGGCAGCTTTCCTTTATTTTACCTTTCCAGTCTTCTTTTACCTTATGCAAATTTCTGGACCTTCTATTCAGACACTGGACTCCCTGCCATTCCTTGGACAATATACTCCATCTCCTAATTCTGGGCATTTTTACTGTCTGTCTCCCACACCTGGAATATTCTCCTTTCTCATCTCTGCTTCCTGGCTTTCCTGGCTTCCTTCAAGTCCCAGCTAGAATCCCACCTTCTACTGAAAGCTTTTCTCCATCCCTCTTAATTCTAGTGTCTTCCCTATGCTAACTGTTTCTGACTTATCCTGTGGATAGCTTGGGTGTACGTACTTGTTTGCTCCTGTCTGCCCCGTCAGTTGGGGGCTCCTTGAGGGCAAGCAAATATCTTTTGCCTTTATTTGGATCCCTAGCACTCCACACAGTTCTCAGCACATGGTAGGCCCTTAATAAATGTTTATTGACTAATTCCTTGAAATGTAGTGTCCAGGATTTTTTTTCTTAATCTTTGTTTTCCAGACCTATTTTCCAGGTCACTGTTTTTGATATCAGATAGCTCATATTTTCTTCTCTCATATTTTCAGTCTTTTTATTTTGTTCTAATACATCTTGCCATCTCATGGAGTCATTGATTTATGTTTGGTCTATTCAGTTTTTCAGGGAGTATGTTTCTTGGCTAAGGTTTACTACTTTCTCTTCTATTTTTCTCCCAATTCTTTCTTCCATAGCTTTTATTTCATTTTTTAAAATCTCCTCAGTTTTTCCTCCTAGGTAGTGGTCAGTCTTTTGTTTTTGCTTTTGTTTTAAAATATACTCATCTCTCCAACTTTATATACTGAATTGGAGCTTCATGAGAGGGTCAGGCTCTGCCTCCTGCTGTATTTTTGAGTGGGGTGGTAACCCTGTTTGATCTTTCTCTGCCTGGGTCATCTGGATTCTTGACCTGATCTCCACCTCCTGGGTTAGGCCTCCTGGGTCTCTGAGATTCAGAGAATTGGAGCTTCAAGATCTATCCCCTCCAGTGTCCCTGAACAGAGCGTTTGGGACCTCAGATTCCCTAGGCTGATAGGGTTTCCCAGTTTGAGCACTATAGGACTTCACTGGTCGACACTGCACTGGTTGCTGCCTTTCCAGAGTCCCCACACTGCAGCTTTCTCAGAGGAGATCCCAATCCACTGCTTCCAGATGCTGAGACTTCAGGCTATACTTGTCTTGACTATGGTCACAGAGGTTCCCTCTGCTGGTGCTGGTTGTAGCAGAAAAGGCTCCCTTTCTTATTGCCCTTAGGTTTCTGATTATCTTTTTGTGCTGTTTTGGGGTAGACTACAGTTTCTTGTTGGACTTCTTGATAATTTTGTTGGTCTGCTATGAACTTCAAGGTTTTTGCTATAATAGGTATGTGAGATCTGGGTACTTTTTCTCCTGTTCAAGTAGCCAAGACATCTTTGGCAGAGAGTAGCTTTCAGAAAAGGAATTTAATGGACAATGTAGCAAAAACAGTAGTTACAGAAACATTGCTCCCATTTACACTCTTCTCAAACCCACAAAGGCCCTTGTTCCCAGTGGGTACAAAGTATAGAGGTAGTGTGGTACATGTGTGGAGTATGCATACGGCCAAAGCGTAACTCACATTTCCTGGGAGCCCTCTTCTCTCTTTGTAGATCTCTGCTGGGCTCCAAGGATCAGTGCCTCTCTAGAGTCCACTTCTCTTAAGTGCAAGGGGGATCCTGCTCTTCTCCTGGGTGGCTATCCTTCTATACATGCTTGTGTCTGTATTTGTCTACGTGTGTTCTCGATATGTTTCTCTCTACTCTTAGCCAGCTGCCTTGTTTCCTATTTTTTCTTTCTCTCAGACGACATGGATAATGGGAGGGCATGGGGGGGGAGGAAGGGAAGAAGAGAGAAAGAGAGGGAGAGAGAGACAGAGACAGAGAGAGAGATACTTTCTCCTCTTCCTCCTCCACGAGAGTGATTCCCTCTGCACCTAGAATCCTTCAGCACTGGATTGCTCCATGAACTGACAGACTGACTTCTAAAATTCCTCAGCTATTTAAAGCCCCCAGGGGATATGATCAGTTTGTTTGGTTAGCCAATCAGTCTGTTTCCTTTTTTACCAAATTGAAAAGGCATTCATACCTGACAGATAGATCATAGGGTGTAGACAATCTTGTTTACACATTTAAAAAACCCAACCATATCTGTTAGCTGATTGATTGATTGTGATGGGGTTGTCAAACCCTCTCCCTTACACTGTGTCTAGCTCAATGCAGCCTCAAATTACATTAGTTTTTTTATTCTTTATTTTTTTATTTATTTTTTTTACTGCCACTCACCCTGCAGGCTCCTGTTAAGCTTGCAGACCACTAAAACACCCAGGGCTTTTTCAAACAAACTGCTTTCCAACTATGATTCCTCTATCCACTTATGAAGTTGATTTTTTAAAAATCCTAGCATAATGCTTTACCTTTATCCCTGCTGGATTTCATCTTATTACATTCAGCCCAGTGTCTGTCAAGATCTTTCTGGATATTTACTGTATCATCCATGTATTACCTCTCCCTCCTATCTTGGAATGATCTACAAATTTAATTAGTTTTCCATCTCAACGCCTTTGCCCAAGTCCTTGCTAAAAATGTTAAACAGCACAGGGCCAAACACAGATCCCTAGGGCAATTCGCTAGAGACTTCTAGCCAAGTTGATACTGAACCATTAAGTACAACTATTTGAGTTGGGTCATTCATCCGTTTTCAAAGCCATTGAATTGTATTGCCATCTAGTCTACATTTTTCTCTTTTTCCCAAAAGAATAGTATGAGTTACTTTATAAAATGAGTGCTAAAATCTAGGCAGATTTCTGTAGCATTCTTCTGACCTACCAGTTTAATAATCCTGTTAAAAATAGAAAACTAAGTTAGCTTAGCATGACCTGTCCCTTGACAGAGCCATGCTGGCTCTCGATGATCACCGTTTCCTTTGCCAGATGCTCAAGAACCACCTCTTTAATTAACCCTTCTACAATGTTCCGAGGAATCACAATCAAGCTCTCTGCTCTACGGTTTTTCGACTCTGTCTTTTGTTCTTTGGAAAATCGAGAGAATATTTCCCCTTCTCCAGACCTGCAATCTCTCTCCTGTTTTCCATAACTTTCAAATATAACTGACGTTGGCTTACCGATCACGTACGACAATTCTTTCAGTGTTTGAAGATGTCACTCATCAGGGCCAGATGGCTTGAGTTCATCAAGGCCAACTAAGTGTGGCACTCTTAATATCTTTTTAGTTATCTTGGGCACCAACTCCCTGTTCACCATGTTTGTTTAGTCATTTCCAGAATAAAGGTCACTCTCTTTGGTGGAGAAAATGAGCAAAAAATGGATATGAGTAGCTCCTCTTTCTCTCTGGTCAGTTATCATCATTCCATCTACCCCCAAGCCATGGCCCTGTCCCATCTTTCATCCTCCCCTCCTTCCCTCCCATATTTCCAAATTAAGCTTATGTTATTGTTAGCTTCCCTTGCCGATCTCAGTTGCTGCTCAGATTTAGCCTTTGTGACATTATTTTTACAGGCCATGCCACACTCACAGTCACTTTCTGTTAACTGCTGTGCTTCCGTTTTCAGTATGTAGCTATTGAAAACCTGACTCGGTCAATGAGTTATTTGTGCATTCACATTGGTTTCTTCAGACAACTTGTATTTTTTTTCTCTTCTTTGGAATTGTTTCCTTTTGTGTCTACCGCAATTTCATTCTTGAGTTTCCCATCCCTCTTGAGCTCATTTCCCTGGGATCTCTACCATATTTAGCTTAAAGTCCATTTGATTAGATTTGCAAGACACCCAACAAATACATTCTTATTAATCTTTAATAGGTACACATTTAATAGTTGTATACCATAGAGGCAAACAGCTGGTATATAGTAGATAGAGTATGGGACCTGAAGTCAGGAAGAACGCAATTCAAATCTATCCTCAGACACTTACTAGCTGTGTGACCATGGGCAAGTTATTTAGCCTCTGTTTGCCCCAGTTTCCTTACCTGTAAAATGGAGATAGTAATAGTACTTACCTCCCAGGGTTGTTGTGAGGATCAAATGAGATAATTATTGTAAAGCACCCGGTGTGTATGTATGTATCCAGTCATGTCCGACTCTTTGTGATCCCACTTGGGGTTTTCTTAGCAAAGATCCTGGAAGGATTTGCATTTCCTTCTCCAGCTCATTTTACAGATGAGGAAACTGAGGTAAGCAGGAAGAATAGTCCTCCTGACTTTAGGCCCAGCACTCTATGCACTGGATCATGTCACTGTCCTGTAAAACACTTAGCATAGTAAAGCCCACAAAGAATTGTAAAGCCTGGCACATAGTAAGTGCTACATAAGTGTTAGCTATTATCATTATTATTATTATTATTAATCCCTGGTCAGGAATCTATCATTCCTTTATTTTAAACCATGGTCCAGAAGTCCAAATCATATTCATAGACATCACCTTCGTAGCCAGTTGCTGACTTCCAGAATAATTTTTTGTCTTCTGCATCACTCACCGTTAATGGACAATAATGAGGAAAATATAACCTGCGTCCCAAACAGTTATTATTCTTGCCTAAGTTTTCATAATCTTCTGTGATACTTGAGACTCCTTTTGGCAGCATCATATGTATGCACATGTATCATCAGAAGTGGGTAGGAGTCATCTATTTTAATGAGTCTTAGGAAGGTCTATTACATCTTGTCTATGTGCCCTGAGAAAATAACACATCTCAATGGACAGAGGCCTGGAGTCAGGAAGACCTGTATTCAAATCTGGCCTCAGACACTTACTAGCTGTGTGACCCTAGGCAAGACACTTAAGCTCGGTTTCCTCATCTGTAAAATGGGGATAAAATTAGCACCTACTCCATGGGGTTGTTGTAAAAATCAAATAAGATAATATTTGTAAAAAGCATTTAGTATTGTGTCTGGCACATAGCAAGTGCTATATAAATGCTTATTCCTTCCTTTTCCCTTCCCCTCTTCTGTTGTTGTTCTCAGATCGACAATTAGCTACGTCAGTATCTTTATCATATACATATACCATATACTACTTCTGTGTCCCATGAGAGGAACTTGGGCCCAGGCCTGGAAAGCCCATGAGAGAGGATGATGTTCACAGAGGGCAGGGAAGGAGATAGATGATGCTTATGGCCTTGAAGCAGCACAGTGACCAAAGGAGGGCTCCTAGGACCCCAGAGCACACAAGCTGAGGAGCTGTCACCTCTCCCCATCAGTCTGGGGCTGGAGGAGATGTCAGGGAAATACAAGAACATGATGCTGTGTGATTTCTCTAACTTTAGTTAAAACACACACACACACACACACACACACACCCCTCTTGCTCAATTACTGTTTCTCAGCAAGGAAGAAAACACTGTCAGGCTTGTGGACTAATTATCTACAAGGAAATTCTAGCCCATTCCCTGACACAGAGAAGAGATCACTTCTGCCCTGTCCTCCAGAGAAAGAGTGCTGGGGCATTCCCCTGCAGAGTAAGACAGATGAGAACACTAAGGCTGGGTCCCACTAAGTGCAGGGCTCCTAACCACCCCTGCCCCACCCACACCCTTTTCTTTACCCAGTTCTGCTCTGGTTTCTCAGAGGCTGACCCTATTCTGGGAAGTCTCTAGTGTAAGAACTCAAGGACAGAAACTCTATCAACTCAAACAGGACCCCAGTTGCAGTGGTGATGATGAGGATACAGAAGAGAGACAGCCAGGTGGCAGAATAGATAAAACATTGGACCTGGAGTCAAGAAGACCTGAGTTTAAATCTGGCCTCAGATACTTACAAATTGTGTGACTCTGGCCAAGTCACTTAAACCTCTCTCTGCCTCATTTTCTTCATCTATAAAATGGGGATAATAATAAAAAACTATTTCCCAGGGTTATTGTGAGGATCAAATGAGATAATATCTGTAAGGTGCTTGGCAAACCTCAAAGTCCTATATAAAAGCTGGCTGTTATTATTAATAAAGAAGGATAAGAAGTGAGAGGTGCCAAGTCCACAGGAGGACCATATTACTTATACTCTAAGAACTGGGCCCATCTTTTCCCTCTCCTCCATTACATACAATTGAGTAGGAAATTATGCAGATCTTTCTCTCTACTAAATAGTCTCTTTCCATTCCAGGAGCAGCCTGGCCATTAAAACCAAGAGACCATAAATAAGGCGCCACTCTCCATCTGATTGCCTTGTATCTTAATTGCTGACAAAGTACCTGGAATGAAATAATCTCATTGACTCCAACCGATACTGTGAATGAAATGTCACATGAGAAGCAGTTGGTCTAGTACTGCAAGCCCTGGGCTTGGAGTCAAGAGATCTGGGCTGAAGCCCCAGCTCTCCAACCCACTGGCTGTGTGACCAAGGGAAGCTCACTTCTCTTTTCTTGGACTCAATTTCCTCCTTTGCAAAATAGGGTTATTATGCCTATGGACCTCATGGGAGCAATGTGCCAAGAAAGCCTCTGTAAAGAGGTAGAGTGCATTTGAAATGGGATTTATTCTTTGTTCATTAGAAACATAATTATTAAGTACCTACTGTGATAAGAGAAGGTCCTTGGATTTCCTGGAGTTTAGGGGTTAAGACACAAACCCAGGCAGCCATAGTAAATGTAGCAAGTGTTAGGATACCCCTTCCTTTTTCTTCTCTCTTCTATTTGAATAACTATGGGAAATGAAATGGGCAGCTCCTAAAGTGTGCATGGTGGTATGTGCAGCTGGTAACTGGGAAGTATTGAAGAAGATAGACAGAAGAAGGAACCTGCAGAGAAAGAATGGTGCCAAGTGGGGAGAAGAGAACGATCATGAAGGGTTTGCCACAATCTTAAATGGGAAAGATAGCTCAGAAAGAGCTAACTTGTTTTGCCTGAGAAACTGGAGGCCTGGTTTGCAGTTCTCTGGAACTGAGACCAGAGCAGTTACTAGGGAAGGCTTACTGGACCTTAGTCCCAGGTAGAGGATGTTGACAGTTCTATCAGAGGGAACACTCAACTCCCACCCCACTCTCCATTCTCCCATCTATTTTCTGTCTTATTCTGTGTCCAGCAGCTGTCTCAGCCTGAGCAAACCTCCTTTCCCCTTTGGCTGGGATATTGAGAGCCATCTACACCTTACTGACTTCTTTTGTCTTTTCCCCTTACTCTGACTGTCTAGGGTCACACAAGGGCTACAATTCCCTCCCCAACCCTCCCCCCACACACCCCATCTTTTCCTAGTAGAAGTGCCCAGTCCTAAACCTTAAGTGCTTCAAACAATCAAGCATTAAGCATTTATTAAACACTTACTATGTGTCGGGCATTGTGTTAAGTGCTAGAAATTCCAAGACAAAAAATGAAAAAGTCTGCCCTCAAGCCCCTAGGTCCCAAGTGATAGATTCTCTCATGGCTTTGGGGATTAGTGAGGAGAAGGTAAGAGGTATAAGGATAGGGTGTTTCCTTGAAGACCAAGCTTTGAAATGTACAGTCATCCCTTCCACATCGAGGATGTTAGGGGTGTGATGGTCCCATAATCTGGAAAATCCGAGTAAAATTTTTTGACCCTCCCTTTGTACCAGAGAAGAAGTTTGAATTATTATGGTATTACAAGATAAAACATGTTGATATTATACTATATGATACATATATTTTAGGCATTTATGAGTTTCTAAACTTTTTCTGTGTTGTCTGCTGTTCTTTGAGTATTGTTTACAGCTTCTGTCAAACTCCCAAAAAATTCCCATTTAATTTCTTGTGCTGACCCTCCACCTATCAAAACCACGATGGGGAAAGTTGTGATGTGAAAGGGATAACTATGTAGTACTTTTTTCCAACCTGCTCACCTCTCTAGTAAAATGGAGGAGGCTTAGAGTTGGAAAAGATCAAATCCTAGAGTTCTTTGATAGCTTTTAATTAGGTGAATAGCATTCATATGGCTTGAAGTTCTTCAAGGATTAGAATCAGAAGTCAAAGTGCAAAAGTGAGGCACTGATGGAGACCCCAAGCTCAGGGCCCAGGAAGTTAAGTCCAAAGAAGAGATTAAGCCTGGAGATATTAGCTACCCAGGAGGACTCAGTCTTTTGTTCTAAAGAGTCTGGTGCTTGGGGCCAATGATTTCCCGTTGGAGATGAATGACTCTAAAGGGAATGAGACACCGAAGGCTTTCTGTGAGCCCAAGACCCACAAAGCAATTGCTTTTCTAAAAAAAGTCTATAAGGAGAAAAGGTGGGATGCCCACAGGCGTTATACACTGCACATACTTTCTGACTTTGTCTACAT